TTGTATTTGTTATTATTTACTAATAGTATCTAACATTTGTGGGGTTTTCACAGTTTAGGATTGCCAATAGATTGTTTGAAAATATATTCATTATTTAAATTACGAATATTGTTAGGTGTTTATTGTTCATACTAATCTTTAATCTTTTCATATGGGACAAACAGGAGCAAATGGATATCTTACACTTTATTTGTATTTTAATTTTTTAAAAAAGATTTATTTATTTGAGAGAGCGAGAAGAGTGGGTATGAATGGGAAGGGGCAGAGGTAGAAAATCTTCTAGCAGACTCCCCACTGAAAGCAGGGCCCAACATGGGCTTGATCTCATTACCCATGAGATCACAACCTGAGCCAAAACCAACTGAGTCACCCAGGAGCTCTGTATGTTAATATCCGTGGCAATCTGTGAATCCAAGGAATGAAGTGGTTGGCTATTCTACCAATAGATATATAAAACTTTTTGAGTAACACATGATAAATTACTTACTTTTTTTTTTTTTCTTATTGGTCATTTTTTTAGTGTTAAAATTTTTCCTCAACAATTTTGGTTAAATGAATGAGAATTTTTAGATATTAAGATCAAAGCCTTAAATATTAGGGGCACGTGGGTGGCTCAGTGGGTTAAAGCCTCTGCCTTCAGCTCAGGTCATGATCCCAGGGTCCTGTGATTGAGCCCCGCATTGGGCTCTCTGCTCAGCAGGGAGCCTGCTTCCCACCCCCCTGCCTGCCTCTCTGCCTACTTGTGATCTCTGTCAAACAAATAAATAAAATCTTTAAAAAAAAAACAACAGCAACAAAGCGTTGAATATTAATTTGCATTTTAATAATTAATGTATATGTCTTATTAACACAAATGGCATATTGCATTTAACTCTGTTACTGGAATTTGGAATTTAAAGTTATCACTCTTAAAAAATAGATATTAGTTTGATAATGTTTACTATATTAGTGAGCAAGATATGTGAATTTTTGATGCAGTATGACCTCAAATAATAAGTCTTTGAAAATAGTCGGTGAGGGAATTCTAAGATTCATTCAGGGGTACTGATGTAAACTAAGATTATTTAAGAAACTAAGGTACTGATAAGTAAACTAAATATGAAACATTATTTTCTCTATTATAACTATTTTTATAGAGATAACACTGTAAGTTAGACTTCTAAAGAACCTTCTGATCATTCTTTTAAATTTAAAGAAAATATATGAAAAAAAATTACTTTTAACAGTTTCTAATGAATTTTTAAGTGGGCCTTTATAATTGGCAATATTAAGATTTTCAATAATCATTTTGTAGACTTTTGTTGTCCAATGTTAGCCACTAGCCACATGTGACTCCTTGGATTTAAATTGATTAAAATTAAAATTTAAAAATCAGTTCCTTAGTCACACATTACAAGTGTTCAATAGCTATATATGGCTAGTGACTGTTGTACTAAATAGTGCAGTTATAGATAATTCTTTTTTTTTTTTTAATTTTTTATCTATTTATTTGACAGAGATCACAAGTAGGCAGAGAGGCAGGCAGAGAGAGAGGAAGGGAAGCAGGCTCCCCGCCGAGTAGAGAGCCCGATGCGGGGCTCGATCCCAGGACCCCGGGATCATGACCCGAGCGGAAGGCAGAGGCTTAACCCACTGAGCCACCCAGGCGCCCCAGTTATAGATAATTCTAACAGTTCTAATGGAATGTACTGATCTAGACTGAAATTTCAGTGTTTAATTATCTTTTAATGTTACTCTTGTTTTTTCAAATATTTTACTGTGGCAAAATACACATGACATAAAATTTACCATCTTAATCATTTTTAAGTGGTATAGTCCAGTGGTATTAAGTACATTAATAATTATTATATTGTCATATTAAATACAATAATAATCTATCTCTATGACATTTTTCATCTTGTAAAAATTGAAACTCTATACATACTGAATAATAACTCCCCATTCCTCCCTTCCCTCCAGCTCTTGGCAATCACTATTCCACTTTCTCTCCCTATGATTTTAACTACTCTTAAGTACCTCATGTAAGTGGAATCATATAGTATAGGTCTTTTTAGTGACTGGCCTGTTTCACTTAGACTAATGTCTTCAGGTTCATCCATGTCATAGCATATTGGGAATATTCTTCTTTTTTAAAGCTGAATAATAGTCCATTGTATATGTACCACATTTTACTTATCCATTTATAGGTCAGTAGTTACTGGGGTTGCTCCCACAATTAGCTATTGTGAACAGTGCTGCTATGAATATGGGTGTAGAGATACCTCTTTAAGAATGGATGATATGTGGGCGCCTGGGTGGCTCAGTGGGTTAAAGCCTCTGCCTTTGGCTCAGGTCGTGATCCCAGGGTCCTGGGATCAAGCCCCGTATTGGGCTCTCTGCTCAGCGGGGAGCCTGCTTCCTCCTCTCTCTCTGCCTGCCTCTCTGCCTACTTGTGATCTCTGTCTGTCAAATAAATAAATAAATCTTTAAAAAAAAAAAAAGAATGGATTATATGGTAATTGTATTTTTAATTTTTTAAGGAACCACCATACTGCTTTTTAAAGCAGCTGTACAGGATTCCAGTTTCTCTACATTCTTGCAAACACTTACTATTTTCTGTTTTTTGTTTTGATAATAGCCATCCTGTTTGATGTGAGGTGCTATCTCATTGTGGTTTTGATTTTCGTTTCCTTAATGATTAGTAATGTTTAGCATCCTTTCTTGTGCTTATTAGCCATTTGTATATCTTATTTATTTATTTATTTATATTTTTGAGAGAGCGCCTGTGGAGAGTGAGGTTTGGGGGGGTGACGGAGAGAGAATCTTAAACAGGCTCCATGGACAGTGCAGAGTCCTGAGCTGAAATGAAGAGTCAGTCCCTTAACTGACACAGCTACCGAGGTGCTGTAAGCTATAAGCTCTATAGCTTATTTAAATCCTTCTTCTACATGCATGTGGACTTAAGAAACAGTTATAATAGTATAAGCTGTTTATGGTATTAGTTTTTTTAAGTGTATTAGTCTCTTACATCATGTAAAAAAACAAGAGTAGAGTTACAACCCATTGTTATAATAATATTAGCTTTTATAATTGATCGTGTATTAACCTTTATTGAGATTTTTATTTCTCCATAATGGACTCTGAGTTACTGTCTTGTGTCCTTCCTCCCTCCCCCCACCCTACAGGACTCCATTGAGCATTTCTTGTAGGACAAGTCTGGTGGTATCGAACTCCCCCTGCTATTGTTTGTCTAGCACTGTCTTAATTTCTCGCACACTTTTGAAGGACAATTTTGATGAACATAGTATTCTTAGTTGATAGGGTTTTTTGGTTGCTGTTTGTTTTTCTGGTCATTTTAACACTTTTAATACATTGATAACACTGCCTTCTGGCTTCCAGAATTTCTGATGAGAGCTCTGCCTGTAATCTTATTGATTGTATGTGACGAATCTGAATTTCTCTCTATTTTCAAGCCTCTCTTTGTGTCTTTTTATTTGGAATGTTTGATTATAATGCATCTTGGCGTGGGACTTTTTGAGTTTATTTTGTTTGGTATTTGTTGAGCTTCTTGGATTTCATATTATCTCCTTCATCAAATTAGGAAGTTTTCAGTCATTATTCCTTTAAACATTATCTCTTCCCCCTTTTTCTTCTTCTGGGTCTTCCACGATGTGAATGTTGGTGTATTTGTCGATGCCCTCACTTGCCGCTTAGGATCTGTTCACTTTTTTTCAAGCTTTTTTTTTTTTCTGTTTGTTCCTCAGACTTTGTAGTTTCCATTGTTCTTTCTTTCAAGTTTGCTGCACAGAGCTGTCCTTTTAATCCCTCTAGTAAATTTTCTGTTCCGTTACTGTACTTTTCATCTCCAGAATTATCTTTTGGTTTATTTTTAGGCTTTCTATTGATATTTCTGTTTAGTTCAGAAATTATTTTCTTGTCTTTGTCACAATTTCTGTTAGTTCATTGAGCATTTAAAAAATAATTCTTTGTCTTGCAGATCTGCCTTCAGGTCTTTTTCTGGGACAGTTTCTGTTAATTTTCCCCCCCATTTTAATGGGCCATACTTTCCTTTTTCTTTGTTTAACTTGTAAGGTTTTTCTCTGAAACTGGACATTTGTATTTAATAATGTGATAACTTTGGAAATGAGATTTTCAACCATTCCCAACATTTGCTGTGTTTTGTTACTGTTTCTGTTTGTTTTTGTTTCTTATCATAGTGTGCTGTCTCTGTGCTGAGGATCAGTCTAAGGTGTAAACTTACAGTTTTTTATGTCTTTTCTGAGCCTTTTCCTGGGCAAGTCTGGTCATTTGCTAATTTTTCCTGTATATGCACTTATTTTTGAGTGTCCATGTCTTTAGTGTCTGGCTCCCAAAAGGGTGCAAGGAGAAAAATGAAGGTGGGAGATAATTTTAAGTTCTAGAAGTCATTTTTAGGCCGAGGGGACCTTACCCAGCTCTTTGTACTTCTGTGATCAGAGCACAGATGCTCAGTATTTGGAGGACATGATTTATTTTGGCCATCCTGGCTCCTAATAGCTGTTTGTAAGGTACTGCAGGAACATGTGCAGTGTTCTGCCTGCTGTGTGGCTTGGTTGGAGAATGGGTAGCTGTGACTTCGCCTAGAGCTGAAATTGACTGAAATTAATTGCAGTTTACCTGTGCAAGTCTTTCCTTGGAAGTTGCAAGCCTTTACTAGAGTCCAGAGTTTGAAAATAATTACATCAAACATTGTGCCTGTGCAGTTGTTTTCTAGGTGGAGAGACAGATTTCTGTTACTTTGGACTTCACCATCGGTGTTGAATCTCTTATGTTGGTTCACTTAAACATGTAGCATTATTGTATGTGTTTATGATACTTACAGGGATACAGGAATTGCTTTATATATTTACTCTTGTCATTCTTACAGGAGTGTATATTTTTATATATTCTTCACATGTACCTGAATTTTTATTAATAGAAACCATAACTAATACTAGAAAATAAAAATAAATATATGAACTTACATTTTTTTCTTTATGTAGGCAGTGTTCAGAATGTGACCAGGCAGGGAGCAGTGACATGGAAGCAGACATGGCCATGGAAACCTTACCAGATGGGACCAAACGATCAAGGAGGCAGATTAAGGAACCAGTGAAATTTGTTCCACAGGATATGCCTCCAGAACCCAAGAAGATTCCAGTAAGAAACACGGTAATTTTTTACCTGTTTATCATAATCATCACAGAAATCTGAGGTCAGAATTTAAGAGGTGAAAAAGACAAAGGGTGAACATATACTCAGGAGTCAAAGAAAGAAACCATCGTATTGCTGTTGGTCATTCTTAAGAGTTTATTGTTACAATCATGAAATATACCATACATACGTGAGAATTTATGGTTTATGAATTCAACTTAAAGCATAATAATAATGAATGCCCAAGGTATCCACCAGCCTGCTTCAAAAATCAGACATTACGAAAGGCTTTGATGTCCCCTGTGAATCCTTGGTAATTACATTCTCATCTGTCTGGCACAGGGGTTACCTCTGTTCTCAACTTTATATTTCTCATTCTCTTCTTTTTTTAATAATGAATCTCCAAATGTGTGTATTCATAAGTAATACATAGTTTTGCAAGTTTTGAATTTTGTATGAATGGAGTTTTTCCTTTTGTTATTTGCTACTTTAATCCAATGAATTGATTCATAAATATCTCAGTATTTATATAACCACAATAAATAAGTGATTTCTTTCACAATAAATAAGTGATTTATCTCTCCTTTTGTTTAATTTTTTAATTGTTCCTAGTATCTTCTTAGTTATACTTTTTATTTTAGTACATATATTACATTTTTGGATATTCTGTCCTTAAATTTCTTATAATAATTCTTTCGTTAGTTTTTATTTTTCCTGCCATTACTGATCAAAGTGTACTTCATTTCACAATAGTCCTATTACTCTATCAAAATTTTAAATAAAATTTAACTTTGTGTTGTAGGGAATTCATGACATATATCCTAAGCTTTAATTTCTCATTCAAAATAATATATCACTAAATAAAACTGCTAAAATGATCATTTGTTCTACAACTTTCTATGAATCTTTTTTGTGGGATATGTGAATTGTTATTCTATTAAATAATTTTATTTTTAAATTCAGACTTTATAGTATGATTGAGTATATATAGCACTTTTATTTTCTTTTGAAGGACTGTCTCTATAGAGTTGTCTCTAAGAACCATCAAAAATATAAAATTTTCATGGCTGCCATAGATTGAAGTCCTTTTTTTATTGAACATATTTTCTTCCCCCTGCTATTACTTTCTCATCTTTTATACTTTATATCTTTATGTTTAAGAGTAACATCATGGTGGTAGTAAAGAAGCAAAAGAGGGATGGAAGGGATTTACATGTTGGAGTATTTGTGTAAATCCTGGTATGTTACTACTATTAATTTAACTTCTGTTTATCCATGCTACTAATAAATCCAGCATCCTATTATTTTCTCTTTCTTCCTACTATTCGATCATTGGCTATTTTACTTCATTACGTTCTTCAAAGGCTAGTAGGTCAGAAGAGGACATGAGGGATTAGCCTACCTTTACCTAAAATTGTTTAATAATAATAATACCTAACATTTATTGAGGACTCATCACATGCCAGACACTGTACTAATCCTCTGTACTAATCTGACCCACTCCCCCTTTTAAAAAATTAGTTAGTATATGACTGTTATAACTTAACCTATTTTACTCAAAATGAAACTGAGACACAGAAAGCTTGAGTAACCTACCATGATCTTACAAATAGTAGGCAGAATAGGACTTAAACTCAGCCTGAATTAATACCCTGTGGGTTTTGTTTATTTTTTAAAGGTCTGTAGAAGAAATTTAAGTGAGGTTCAAATGAAGTTATAAAACATTTTGGTTTTTAGGTAGCATGGCTAGGAATGTGATACCAGTACGTTCATGTGTCTTTCTTTAGCATAGTGTTATCTATCGTAAGACAGTTACATATCCACTTACTAACTTGTGTACCTGAGTTTGTTCACATTAAATACAAGATCCAACACTCTTTTTCTTTGCACTTTCTGTTAAGTGTGAAGTGTTCCCCCCCCCAAGCTTGTACAAGGGCATTGCTGCTTTCAAAAGTCACAGTGCAGTAGTGTAGAAGTTAATTAATAAAATGTTTGAAGGTTATTCTACCTTGAGGAAATTGATATTAAAAAAAATAGAAGCAGCAAATCTGTAAGCATACTGACAGAATGTGTGTATATATTAGCCACCAGCATATATTTATTTTGCTATTCTATGTTGGTTTGCTTTTTTCCTTCTAAATTGTGAATACTGTGAAACTTGCTGTAGAAAAAAAGAGTGCATGCTTTGGAATTGGCAGTGAAGATGGAGAAGTATATAGTGGTTTTTGTTTCCTAACTAGTTACTCCAAATCTACGTGAAACATTTGGCTTATTGTATCTCAGCTTTTTTTATTAGGCAACAAATATCTTTTTGATTTGTTCATTTGATTTGATCAGTGTTAAGAGAGATGGGCCCATGGACTCAATTTTTATGCTTGAGTGCCTGCTTTGTGCCAAATAAGGCTGCTATTAGAAGAATGGCATCCACTTTTTCCTGCTGACAGGCAGTTTCCATTTATCATAGCTGGAGAGTGCAATGGGGAATAGAACACTTTGGCAAGCCTTACTATATTTTTACTATTTAGATGCTGAGGAAATTCATTTTTCACTTTATTCTACTCTGATTTCCTTAATAAGGATTTATAGAACTCTGAATGACTATAGCACATTTTGAGACAGTAGATCCGGTAAGATATAGATGCTTTTCAAAGTAAGTAGTTCCAGTATTACTTTTTCTTCCTAATTTTTTTCTACCCAAAGATGATAAAAGATTAGCCAGAAAAGTTACTTGAAATAAATGATAGCTTTAAAGAGTTAAAGGTGTTTAAAAATAATGGGCTAAAAGAGCTATTTTTGAGTTGTAAGAATGAAAATACTGTATTTCCAGAAAATATTCCTCATGTGCAAAGATGGAGATTCTCTCTGATCCATATTTTCATTTTTTTTATGTTATCTCATATTTAATTGTCTCATATTTAATTGTTAGGTTACTATTTTTAAAAAATTGATTCTGAAAGTTAGAATTATTTTTAAATTAAATTTTAACTATGAAAGTAACACTTTGAAAATATTAACTATGAAAGTGAATTTTTTTTGTTATAAGAAATTCAAAAGTATCATCTCCTTTGACTTTCCTCCCAACATTACCCTTCCCCAGCCCATGAATCTATGTTTATCATAAGGGTATATATTTTGTACTTAGAAATTTCTTTTGGTGTATCTGTCGAACAAAAAATAAGAAAAAAAGTGATCAGTGAGTTATATGAAAAAGTAATATGGGCATAGTTCAAGAAACATGGAAATAATGAAATATTATTAATAAATAAAAGAGGAATGATCTGGTTTTAGAAAATTCTTCACATATTGTTTCCTGCTCCAGGAATGTAACTTTGTAACATCATCTTAAATTGGCTCACAAATATCCCATCCTCAGTATTTCAGTCTCTCAGGAACCATATTCTCTATTTTATTATTGGTCACAAATAGAAGGACTAAGTCTAAGGAAAGAAAAGGATTGAAAAGCATTTTTTTTAAAAAGATTTTATTTATTTATTTGACAGAGAGAGATCACAAGTAGGCAGAGAGGCAGCAGAGAGAGAGGAGGAAGCAGGCTCCCTGCAGAGCAGAGAGCCCCATGTGGGGCTCAATGCCAGGACTCTGGGATCATGACCTGAGCCAAAGGCAGAGGCCTTAACCCACTGAGCCACCCAGGGTCCCCGAAAAGCGTATTTTTATTTAACCATTATCTGTTACTTACTTTGTATTTTATATTAATTGTCATTACTATGCTATGAAGTAGTTACAAATGTCATTGCCATTTTATAGTCGAGAAACTGAGGCAAAGTGTTTCAGTAACTTGCCCAAGGATATACAGCTTCTAAATGCTATGTATAGCCAGGAATCAAACTAAGGTAGCTTCTGAGGTGAAACTTTTAAGTGCATCATTATGCTGCTTTTCCATGTGGGATTACAGGGATTGTTCCCAGCACTTGTCCTTGGGCCAGAATCACAGGCTTCTGTGCTTTCAGCAACTTAGTGGCTAAAGGTGTGGTCAGGAAAATGGAATTCGCTCTGTGGGGAGTTAAGGACTTATACTACTGTTGGCATAGATGAGGGTGTGGATGTCAAGAAAACTTTTACCATATGTCAGAGCGGTTCTGCTGAACATGAGAAAAATTGTAAATGATATATCTATCCTGAAGCACTGAGTAGGTGGTGGGAACTGACTCCAGATCAAAGAATTTGACAGTGATGATCTCAGCCCAGAGAACACTGTTGAGTGGGTAGAAAAATGAGAATTTGTGGGAAGTTTGGAAAGCCTGCGGGGACCATGAAGTGGGAGCTAGTGGAAAGGTCTAGAAGGCTAAAGCCTATGCAAAAGCCAAGCATCTGACTCTTATGACCCCCTGAGTAAAATGGCCTTTACTTAAATGTTTCAGAACTAATGTTACTGATAGGGAACTGTAGACAGAAGATAAGAGGGAGGCCTTTGGGAAATTAATTAATTAATTAAATTTAATTTTAATTTCAATAACTCTTCTACTTACTCAGAAATACCTTATTTATGGATATGAAATTTAATTTTAATTTCAATAACTCTTCTACTTACTCAGAAATACCTTCTTTATGGATATGACTTACAATTATGGTTTAGAAACTATCCATTAAAATGTACTGATATTTTCCTAAGAAATTTTCTTTGTATTATTATTCCCTTTAAAAAGTAGAAGATGGTACAAAATCAACTTGTATGTTTTAGATAGCATCAAAACCTGTAAGACAGCATAGTGTGTGGTGGAAGTACCTGGACTAACACATGGTAGATTTGATTTGTAGTTCATACTCTGCCGATAACCATGTATGTGCCCTTGGATAAGTACTTAACCTTGTTTATACTCAGTATCCTCATTTATAAAATAAATTAGATAATCTGGGGCACCTGGGTGGCTCAGTGGGTTGAGCCTCTGCCTTTGGTTTGGGTCATGATCTCAGGTCCTGGGATCAAGACCCACATCGGGCTCTCTGCTCAGCAGGCGGCCTGCTTCCCCCCCTCTCACCTACTTGTGATCTCTCTCTGT